TCATAATAATTGCCAAAACTTTACAGATTTAGGGCCGCAATTCCTCCGAGAGGGTAGAAGAAATTCTTCCGAAAAGGTAGAAGACTTTCCTCCGAGAAGTTAGAAGACATTCTTCCGGAAAGGTAGAAGAAATTCCTCCGAGAAGGTAGAAGAAATTCCTCCGAGAAGGTAGGAGTAATTCATCCGAGAAGGTAGATGACTTTCCTCCGAGAGGGTAATAGACATTCCTCCGAGAAAGTAGAAGACATTCCTCCGAAAAGGGTGAAGAAATTCCTCCGAGAAGGTAGAAGACTTTCCTCCGAGAAGTAAGAAGACATTCCTCCGAGAAGGTAGAAGAAATTCCTCCGAGAGAGTAGAAGAAATTCCTCCAAAAAGGTAGAAGAAATTCCTCCGAGAGGGTAATAGACATTCCTCCGAGAAAGTAGAAGACATTCCTCCGAGAAGGTAGAAGAAATTCCCCCGAGAGGGTAGAAAAAATTCTTCCTAGAGGGTAGAAAACATTCCTCCGACAAGGTAGAAGAAATTCCTCCGAGAGGGTAGAAGAAATTTCTCCGAGAAAGCAGAAGAAATTACTCCAAGAAGGTAGAAGACATTCCTCCGAGAAAGTAGAAGACATTCCTCCGAAAAGGGTGAAGAAATTCCTCCGAGAAGGTAGAAGACTTTCCTCCGAGAAGTAAGAAGACATTCCTCCGAGAAGGTAGAAGAAATTCTTCCGAGAGAGTAGAAGAAATTCCTCCAAAAAGGTAGAAGAAATTCCTCCGAGAAGGTAGAAGAAATTCCTCCGAGAAGGTAGAAAACATTCCTCCGAGAAGGTAGAAGAAATTCCTCCGAGAAGGTAGAAAACATTCCTGCGAGAAGGTAGAAGATATTTCTCCGAGAAGGTAAAAGAAATTTCTCCGAAAAGGTAGAAGAAATTCCCCCCAAAATGGTAGAAGAAATTCCTCCGAGAAGTTAGAAGATATTCCTCCGAGAAGGTAGAAAAAATTCCTCCGAGAAGGTAGAAAACATTCCTGCGATAAGGTAGAAGAAATTCCTCCGAGAAGGTAGAAGAAATTCCTCCGAAAAGGTAGAAGAAATTCCTCCGAGAAGGTAGAATAAATTCCTCCGAGAAGGTAGAAGACATTTCTCCGAGAAGGTAGAAGAAATTCCTCCGAAAAGGTAGAAGACTTTCCTCCGAGAAGGTAGAAGAAATTCCTCCGAGAAGGTAGAAGAAATTCCCCCCAAAATGGTAGAAGAAATTCCTCCGAGAAGTTAGAAGATATTCCTCCGAGAAGGTAGAAAAAATTCCTCCGAGAAGGTAGAAAACATTCCTGCGATAAGGTAGAAGAAATTCCTCCGAGAAGGTAGAAGAAATTCCTCCGAAAAGGTAGAAGAAATTCCTCCGAGAAGGTAGAATAAATTCCTCCGAGAAGGTAGAAGACATTTCTCCGAGAAGGTAGAAGAAATTCCTCCGAGAAGGTAGAAAACATTCCTGCGATAAGGTAGAAGAAATTCCTCCGAGAAGGTAGAAGAAATTCCTCCAAAAAGGTAGAAGAAATTCCTCTGAGAAGGTAGAAGAAATTCTTCCAAAAAGGTAGAAGAAATTCCTCTGAGAAGGTAGAAGAAATTTCTCCGAGAAGTTAGAAGATATTCCTCCGACAAGGTAGAAAAATTCCTCCGAGGAGGTAGAAGAAATTCCTCCGAAAAGGTAGAAGAAATTTCTCCGAGAAGGTAGAAGAAATTCCTCCGAGAAGGTAGAAGAAATTCCTCCAAAAAGGTTGAAGAAATTCCTCCAAAAAGGTAGAAGAAATTCCTCCGAGAAGTTAGAAGATATTCCTCCGAGAAGGTAAAAGAAATTCCTCCAAGAAGGTAGAAGAAATTCCTCCAAAAAGGTAAACGAAATTCCTCCGAGAAGGTAGAAGAAATTCCTCCGAGAAGGTAGAAGAAATTCCTCCAAAAAGGTAGAAGAAATTCCTCCGAGAAGGTACAAGAAATTCCTTCGAGATGTTAGAAGATATTCCTCCGAGAAGGTAAAAGAAATTCCTCCGTGAAGGTAGAAAACATTCCTGCTAGAAAGTAGAAGAAATTTCTCCGAGAAGGTAGAAGAAATTCCTCCGAGAAGGTAGAAGAAATTCCTCGAAAAAGGTAGAAGAAATTCCTCCGAGAAGGTAGAAGAAATTCCTCCGAGAAGGTAGAAGAAATTCCTCCAAAAAGGTAGAAGAAATTCCTCCGAGAAGTTAGAAGATATTCCTCCGAGAAGGTAAAAGAAATTCCTCCAAGAAGGTAGAAGAAATTCCTGCTAGAAGGTAGAAGAAATTCCTCCGAGAAGGTAGAAAAAATTTCTCCGAGAAGGTAGAAGAAATTCCTCCGAGAAGGTAGAAGAAATTCCTCCAAAAAGGTTGAAGAAATTCCTCCGAGAAGGTAGAAGAAATTCCTCCGAGATGTTAGAAGATATTCCTCCGAGAAGGTAGAAGAAATTTCTCCGAGAAGGTAGAAGAAATTCCTCCGAAAAGGTAGAAGAAATTCCTCCAAAAAGGTTGAAGAAATTCCTCCGAGAAGGTAGAAGAAATTCCTCCGAGAAGTTAGAAGATATTCCTCCGAGAAGGTAAAAGAAATTCCTCCGAGAAGGTAGAAGAAATTCCTGCTAGAAGGTAGAAGAAATTCTTCCGAGAAGGTAGAAGAAATTCCTCCCAAAAGGTAGAAGAAATTCCTCCGAGAAGGTAGAAAACATTCCTGCTAAAAGGTAGAAGAAATTCCTCCGAGAAGGTAGAGGAAATTCCTCCGAGAAGGTAGAAGAAATTCCTCCAAAAAGATAGAAGAAATTCCTCCGAGAAGTTAGAAGATATTCCTCCGAGAAGGTAAAAGAAATTCCTCCGAGAAGGTAGAAGAAATTCCTGCTAGAAGGTAGAAGAAATTCCTCCGAGAAGGTAGAAGAAATTCCTCCAAAAAGGTTGAAGAAATTCCTCCGAGAAGGTAGAAGAAATTCCTCCGAGAAGGTAGAAGAAATTCCTCCAAAAAGGTAGAAGAAATTCCTCCGAGAAGGTACAAGAAATTCCTCCGAGCAGGTAGAAGAAATTCCTCCGAGAAGGTAGAAGACTTTCCTCCGAGAAGTTAGAAGAAACTCCTCCAAGAAGGTAGAAGACTTTCCTCCAAGAAGTTAGAAGACTTTCCTCCGAGAAGTTAGAAGACATTCCTTCGAAAAGGTAGAAGAAATTTTTCCGAGAGGGTTATAGACTTTCGTCCGAGAAAGTAGAAGGAATTCCTCCGAGAAGGTAGAAGAAATTCCTCCAAAAAGGTAGAAGAAATTTCTCCGAGAGGGTAGAAGACATTCTTCCGACAGGGTAGAAGAAATTCCTTCGAGAGGGTTGATAAAATGCCCCGAGAGGGTTGATAAATTGCCCCCGATCCTCAATTAAGGAGAGTAAGAAAGGGGAAGAATGTAGTAGATAGAGTTAGTGTGGAATAGAAATGAGTAGAATCGAGTGAGTGTGAAGCATGATAGACCGTATGTTAACGGAATCTGATTGGTTCGGAAATTTTGATACAGCTAGAGGTATAAATATGAGGCTCGTTGACGACATTCTTATGACAGACTGTGGAGAGAGCGGACGACCAGCAAAGGACCACCAGCAGAAGGGATAGCGGCACTAGCGGACCAACAGAGGGAGCAGCAAATTCGTGGAACCGTGACTGAGGCTGGAAACCTCGGTCCGGTTACTATATCGTACCACCAGCTGAGCGGCAGATTCGTGGACCTGTGACCGAGGCTGGAAACCTCGGTCCAGTCACGACATACACTATGAATAAGATCTACTCAATTGTTGAGGTGTTTTACTCCTCCTTTTTCAAAAGTTACAGAACATTTTCGGTGTGCCATTTTTATCGAATACACCCTTTATCATGCCAAGTAAGGATCTAAGAGGAAGAGGTGACAATTGGCTTCATCCTCTTTTATTTATATCTCTATCTTTATCTATCTCTATCTCTATCTTACGCACATGAAATCGTCCAATCAGGAGCTGGTTCACGTTTGACAGAAAAGTGGTTCATTTTCGCCCCCGTATTGTCACCTCTTCTCTAAGCCCCCGTATTGTCACCTCTTCTAAGCATTCACATCTTCAGAGGAACATCACCCATTCTTTCAATCATGAATTCTGATGAATGTGGGCGTCTTAGTGGAATACCTGTACCTGTGACAGATACGCGTATTTCGTCTACAATGTGCAGACTTTTTCAGTGTCTTGTACTAATACTCGACTGTCGACTAGTCGAGTATTAGTACAAGACACTAAAGATCAAGGATAAGCAAATAAGGTAGTGGAATTTAATGGAAATTACTTATCCTTCTCTCTCTCGTTTCAATCATGTTCTGCACTCTCATTGGTGAAAAAAAGACAGCATAGTGAATATTTCAAATTAAAATAATCGTAAGTTATTAATCGAGTAATTAAAAAATTAGACACCGCTGCAATTTGAAAACTGCTCAAAACTTCAATCATATTTAAAAGATTCCAAAAGAGTGTGCCCACTAAATAACGACCATGGCAATAAACGGGTTATACTGCTAGTAACCATACTGTTGATAAAGCTTCCAAAAGCTCTTCCGGGAAAGCTCATCACGTGCATCATTCGCTGTCGACTACTGGCAGCACTTCGCACCATGCACACAAACACACACATACGCGAATACGTGTGGGGTTGCGGCAAATTGTAAACATTGCTGCTCATGTGGCTCTCCCGCGATCGATCTTCCCGTGCTCGCGTTTTCTCTCTCTCTGCGGTTCAATTTTCATTCATTTTCTCCGTCGTATGTAGCAAAGGAGTGACGAAATGCGGTATAGGTATTTACAGCTTAGCAGGCTTGGATTTTGTTTTTACTGGGTGTTGTTTACTCTCCCTCTCGCTCGACTCGCTCTGCCACTGCGTTTTATGCGATGCGATGAGTCAGGCCCCTGCCTGCTACACAGAGCTTCAAGCTACAGACAGACAGCCTCAACATCACAAAATTGCTCACCACCAGGGCTTCAGTCAGTCGAGTGCGATCGTTCAGCAAGCTAGGCAGGAGATTCAGTTCGATTTTCGTTACGTTCGCGTCACACTAAAACTGAAAAACCGGACATTTTGGGTCACCATTAGGGCGCTCGTACCAATATTGTCTAGTTATTTTTTTTCATTCGTTGTCCCACTTGAATCGAATAAGTAGAATTTATACGATTTCAAAGGCTTGAGAAAGGGCTGGCACTTGTTTTGTGGTTGTTGTTAGGAAACGAAGTCATCCAAAGTAGGCAATGGAATGTGTCAACGTGTAATGAAAAAAGTGTGTTTACTTTGATTATATCATGCACTGAAAGATTCACAAACAATACTATTGTTTGGTGCGTTGGTATTCATGTGAGTGCATTTTTGTTTTCTCTATTTTGTTTTCACAATGTGTCACGGTGATTGCAAAATTGGTAGTGGTAGTGAGAGCTGAGATTGCGCACCAGGTAGCTCCACACAAGTTAGCGCCGTTTTTTTTAAGGGGTGAGAGAGTGAGAACGATGGAGGCGGGTAAGGTGCAAATGTCAGCACTCTGATGAAAGTGGTGTGAAAAGCAAAATAATAACAACAGAGGCAAAATAAACAGAAAAAGGTTAATGCACGGATGACGGTGCACGGTGTGTTTATGAATACATGTGACATCAATAGTGAGTGTTGAGAGAAAAGGTGTTTGGATTGTGAAAATAAAACTAGTGAATCCATTGTTGACGGTGGGGTTTTGTTCGCATAGTACGAATTGTTATAAAATTTATGTTACACGGAACGAGGAAGCGAATGTTTTCAGACAACTTGCTGCGCGTGACACACCTATACAGCAACAGCACTATTCTCACAAAGATTAGGCGCTCCGATGACGAGATGGGTGCCTGGGTTCGAGTGAGTAGTGAGTGACTGCGAAAGCAATGGGCTGCACATGTTTGAGTATTGATTTCTAATAAGCTTGCACGAGTTGCGAGCTGATGCTGGCTGGAATTGTTTCACAGTCGGCGTAGCGGTCGCTATCGTAACGTACTTGCAGTGTGTCGCGTTTGTTGGGGACCAAGTTTTTCCTTACCGTTGTTGGTGATGATTTTCATGATGTTATTGATTGAGGTGAAGTCCGGTGGTCCGGCCTAGCTGGTTTTGGGTTGTGGTGAAGCAGTTTATCGCGGAAGCAAGTGTTTAAATTTGTGTCTATTTAAATCATGGATTTCTTGAAGAACGAGTGAAGAAAAATAGCAGAAAAGAAGCAAAGTGGAATAATTGAAGTGCGAAGAGATAAAAAACCCATGAATCGCAAAAGAGTGAAAGGAATTGCAAGCGGAGAAAAAAGCTGAAAAATATACACAATCAGTGGGGGCCAAACAAAAAAGTTAAGAAGAGTAGCATAAACCATGTGAATGGGCGTGTGTTGAAGGAAGCAAAGAGCATAAGCCAAGAAGGAAAAAAAAAGGTTTTAAGGTCGGTGTCAACATTGAGAAAGATAAATACAAGCGAACTCGAAGAATACGAGAAAATTATTGTTTGCGTTGAAATGAGGTTGAATGTCAGCTTGTGAGTGAAATACACAGCTTACTCAAGTGAATTGTCATCGAGCAACAATCGCAGTGCGCCGTACGACGACAACGAGAAGGAGGGGTTCAATTACATTTGCCATCCATAGTGAGGACTGTTGTGGAATGAATGAATGTCGAAATCTGGTCAAGAGGTGAACTATAAATAAAGAGGTAAATATGCGAGTGTGATTAAATTATTCCGGTGAAGCTTAGAGCTTACATTAATATTTGCGTTTGTTATCAGACTGTGAGAACAGTTTACATTACACTCAATGAATTTCATAAATCTAATAGGGTAAATGTTGGCTTCGGCACCCATTGACTGTTTTCGGCAACCAAAATTTAAACGTTAATTTCACTATGTTTTCCCATCAACGCACTTCCCTGAATGTGTCCAAACGATTGTTTAGCCTTTCAGCTTCAATCTGATTATATTTGAACGATCGAGCAATCCAGTAATGCTACATTTTTCTTCAAATAAAGCATGCGCACTACAAAATGAGGTTGATTTCGAGTTGCCGATAATAGAACAGCTGGTTAACACGCAGTTCTAATGGGAAGGTTGCCGAAGAAAAAGAGACTGCCGACAATAGTCACACTCACCTGAGAAGTTTGGAGCGTTGTAAAAACGCTTTCAAAACGTTTTGAAAAATTCTGTCGATTGGAATGGATAGAGAAGCAAGCAGCAGATGAATGTAAACAAACAGACACATCATATATGTGCGTGACGCTGAGAAAATGCTAGTAGAAGTGCAGACGCTGCTTAGATTGACGAGAATACGTAAATTCCCCTATTAGCAAAACTAATAAATTTAGTTAATTTCAGACCTAAAATTGAGAAAGTTTTGATCGAAATTATTGATTTCATTACAGTTCACGTAAGAAACTTGTACAGCTGATGTAATTGGTGCATTTGGCGGTGTAGCATGTTTTCCCAAGAGACACCTCATATATTATTCAACAAATGATAATCCGTACATACGCGGATGAATAGAGATGTAGGAAAATGTGATAACTTGTTTTCAATTTGCAATGTTCTTTTGCTACGCTTCGGACATCACGTTCGGCAGTCACTATCAGAACAAGACCTATAAACCGTTCAATGGAACCGTCATAACATTTTGTTATCGCTTCGAGTTTTTTTTCTTTTCTTTTTCTTTAAAGTAAAGAAGCCAACCAGATGCAACCGGGAATCACGAAACAAAAGTTGAAGTTGCTTCAGTGCAATGGCGATGTTTTTTTATGGTTCACGTTTCCTAGTAGAAAATATTGTACAATTTTGCATATAACTAGCGAGATTATTTTTGATTGGAATGATGGTGATTTGTAGCGAAATTAAAATGCAAACAAGCTTGCACTTCAACAGTATGTAGAATCGTATCAAGCTGCAGTTGAGCCCGAGTTGATGGAACATTATACACAGTGAACAATCTTTTGTGACTTCACACTTCAAATATGATTGATCGCCTGTAGTTGTCAATCCGTTATTGCAAAGATCAGCTGTAATTTCACAGATTTACAATTCAAATTTGTGTACATGCTAAGTTTCCGATTGATTAGGCCATTCCCACATCTTGGTTTGGGGTGCTGAAGGGTGAAGTGTGTCACTGAAATTAATTATTTTAAGAGTCGCAGGCAGACACTTTCGAGGCAAGTTAGCAGGACTTCTGAGCGAATTCGGAAGGAGTTTCCAGGCGAAATCATAAGAATAATCCGGTGTCAGTCAAAATAAAACTGTCAGAGCAAGTCTCCCACAAGTCAAAAAATCTCCCGAATGAGTTCAGTAGAAACTACATGAGGAAGCCAGAAGCACTTCTGGGGGAAACCAGAATAAACTTCCAGGAGAAGTTGCAGGATTCGTCCGTTGGAAGTGAAACAAAACTTGCAGGGCAAATCAGAAGTACTTTCCAGAATAATGTAATTCGACAAAAGGTTCTCGATCTTACGATCTGCGGTGGCCTTTTGACAGATAAAATTATGAATTGGCAAGTTTCTGATGAACTTAATATATTATGGTAGTACACGCAAACCAAAAATGCATGACTTTGAATGTTAGTTGCATTTCCTATCATCCGCCACAGCGAATGGTATAAGTTAACCATGCAGACGATGTCATGAATTTTAATCTTTTTTATTTCGTGTGCTGCTTACGCTTCCGACTGTACTATCAATCAATTTATTTATAAAATTGTAGAACGACGCACGCACTTGCCGCGATTCTCTCCAATTCCCGTTCAGTAGAAAAATTACAAGTGACAGCCCTATGGGGTTGTACGCAATGGTGACGTAGGACTACGTGGTCTTATATAATAAATCTTATTTGTTAACTGCACCAGGAATAGGAATTTGAGCGGGGTTCTCTCTGTTTATACTCTTTACTATAACGCGCTTGACATAGATGGCCCACAGCGACTCACGAAAAGCTACTGATTCCGATCAATAGCATTGCGGCCTTTTGCTCCTTCTATGGATGCTCATTAGACTGATGAAAAATTTGAAATTTTCGCTCCACAGTGCTTAAACGGTTCCAAATTGGGTCCTGCTTAGCCTCCCAAAATTTGAACTACTTTAGTAAAAAACTGACTTGGCACAAACCATTTCAAGTTTATATGGGAATTACTGTGGGGAAACTTATATTTTTGTTCATATCTATCTAACAATTCACCACATCACTATGCTTTTAAAAATGATAACAGTGATTGTAGCAAATTTTCTCAGCTACAACTTTGTTGAAAACCACTAACCACACCACAAATGTAAGGAACAAAAGTTATTAATGATTGAAGCCATTGATGTCTTATGATTATGCTCATTCAACTGTTCAGCAGGCAACATTGGTGTTTCTGGTGCGAAGAATAGAGCACAAATATCATGGCTACTATGTCACACTGCAGAATACAGTGTTGCTCACAGAACAGCTGCTTGATCATGCCATAAGATTATTAATCTCTTAAACAATTAATAACAATTTAATTTGACATTTGACTGAAAAACAATATTCGGCAAAGTTGTAGCTTATAAAATTTCCCGAAAGAATAGTTTTAGAAATTTTCGAAAAAGCAATATGGAAAATAGGTAGAAGACATTGAACAAAAAGTTTGATTTTCCCATGCTAATTTCCATACAAACTTCGAATAAATTGTGCCAAGTCAGTTTCTTACCAAATGAGTTTAAATTTTGGGAGGGTAATCAGGACTTGATTTGAAACCTTTTGAGCACTGTGCTTGCTGCTTCCTACTCGCAGGTAGCCTTTCGTTGTGTACTGGAGAACACCACCACCATTTACACACCACGCGGTGATTGAATAAACGCCGTTTGAGACCGGATGGAATTCAACTTTGAAATCTGTGTTAGGGCAATCGATTTTCGCAGGCTATCGGTGATAATTTTAATTATCATCGCAACAATTGACATTTTGAAAAAATAAGTAAATGATAAAGTCTTTGATTTAACAGATGCATAGAAATATTTTTGATCCATTGGTGATAAAATTATTGAAATTAGTCCAGCGGCAGCTGAGCTATTAACGTTCAAAATCTTTCATAATTTTGTTACATGTTCCATTTTTGGTTTTCACAAAGAAATCAGACGTAGTCCTACACGCTTAGAAAAATTGATGTAAATTTAGGTGCTCTGAGACTGACATATAAAAGCGTCCATTTTGACATAAAAATGAGTCATAATACATACGAAATTCAAACGTACTTTCGAACTTTTCACTCTCGGAGCACTTAATTTTACATGACATGTTTGTTTACGTCTCATTCTTTATGTCAAAGATGGATTCCGTCACGTGTAAGATTAGGTATTTCTAAGTGTGTACGTCAAAAGTATACGAAATCGAGTATGAGAGGAAATGAGCGCTTCTTGTTCGCTTCTAGCCTATCCATTAGACTGATGCAAAATTTGAAATTTTCGCTCCACAGTGTTCAAACGGTTTCAAATCGGGTCCTGATTAGCCTCCGAAAGTTTAAACTCATTTGATAAGAAACTGACTTGGCAGTTTGAAGTTTATATGGAAATTACTATGGGAAAACAAAACTTTTTGTTCATTGTCTTCTAGCCTTTTTACATATTGTACTGTTAACAAATTCTATAGTTATTCTTATGGGAATTTTTATCAGCTACAACTTTGCAGAAAATCGTTTTTCAGCCAAACGTCAAATTAAATAGTTATTAATTGTTTAAGAGATTGACAATCTTATGGCAAGATTAAGCAACTTTATTGTGTGCAACACTGTATTCTGCAGTGTGACATAGTAGTCATGATTTTTGTCCTCTATTCTACGCGCCATAAACACCCATGTTGCCTGCTGAACAGTTGATTGAACATAATCATAAGACATCAGTGACATGAATCATTAATAATTTTTGTTCCTTACATTTGATCGAAAAGTGGTCTTCAACAATCGATCGATATGAACCGAAATTTGGTTTCTCCATTGTAATTTCCATCTAAACTTCAAATGGTTTGTGCCAAGTCAGTTTCTCACTGAATGAGTTCAAATTTTGGGAGGCTAATCAGGGCCCAATTTGGAACCGTTTGAGCACTGTGGAGCAAAAATTTCAAATTTTGCATCAGTCTACTATCCATATTCCGAAGCAGTGGAGCAGAGATCTGAAAATCTCAACGTTCGTGATTCGAGTCCAGTCGGCAACGTTTTCTTCTATTTGTTTCGACATGATTCATTTCACTCACTAACACACTCCACATTTTCCGTTCTGCATTTTCTTGCATTGGACCGCAGCTCGGTATATCGCATCCTCCGTTCATGCGGTCTCCTGCGATCAGAGTCCCACATAGTCACTTTCAATCGAAAAACGTCAAGTGACGATGAAGCTGCCAACCATCAATTGAAAGTCATTCTGTCTTCTCTTCGACCAGATCCCCGTCAACATCAACATAACCACTTTCGATTAGTTTTCATGCTGTTTGTTTTGGCTTGACTCGTGTTCATTTCTTCTTTCATTGTCAAATGAACTCCCTTTTGCATTGAAGCGAAGCTGTTCGATTCAAATTAGCGCAGTTTTTATTACTTTTGTTGATTGTTCAATCGGTTCATTTAAGCGTATACGCATAGATCTGAGCACGAGGATGTCAAATTTATCATTGTCCGGTGGTTTGTTTGCCTATCAATATGGGTATTTTTGTGTGAATCGGGTTGACGTCT